TTCAAATGAAGGATCTGGTGACTGGGGGGCCTGGAAGTGCCCCTCTGTGATACCTCTGAATCTTTCCAGTCTTCCCATTCCCAGACTAGCAGGTCCTTCATCTCAGCTCGGTCCTACTTCTTCCAAATATCACCTCTTCCTAGAAGCCTTCCCTGATTATTCTAACTACAACACCACATCTCCATCACTCCCTTTCCTCTCACCTCGCCCCTGTAATATTCCATTCTAGCACTTGGCTCCACCTAATATTTCATTTTATATTTTCATTTATATTTCATTTTATTGTCTATTCCCCCACCTGCATGCAACTCCACAAGGCTTTGTATGGTATAATACCTAGGGCATATCAGATGCTCACAAAATAAGTGCTGAATAGATGATGGGCAGTGGAACTAGTTTTTCTTATTAACCTTTGAAAAACAGACTTCAGAGGGAAAAATTCTACCTGGTACTTCTATGTACCAGAAGATATATGCCCAAAATCTCATTTAATCCTCACATGAGCTCTTGGAAGGAGGGAGTCATTCATTCCTTCATCCATGCATTTCTTCAACAAATGTTTACCAAACACATACTGTATCCCAGTCACCACCCTGAACACTAGGAGAATACAATGAAGAAAACAGATATAATCTGAGCTCTCGTGGAGCTTAGAAACCTGTTGGATAATTATCCCCATTTTGTAGCTGAGCAAACTGAGGTCAAGAGATGGGAAGGGACTTGCCCAGAGAAAAGGGGCAGAACCATGATTTGAACTGACCTGCCTGATTCATGAGAAGATAGGTTTCCACAGCAGCCCATTGTTTTCTTAGGAGTCAGACAGGCAGGGACATGAATCCTGATTTTTGCTTTCCTAGCAAATCACATCACCTCTGAGCTGAGCCCCAATCTCTTCATTGTGAAGCAGGGCAAAGGCCTCTCTGAACTCTGAAGTCCCAGAGGGAGGACCTCAGTGGAGTCCAGACTTGAGTCAAGAAAGAGGAGGGAGCTGGGTATCTAGACCGAGTGTCCTGGGGGAGAAAAGGCCTGGACTCCTGGTTGTGACAGGATCTGGGGCCAGAATCTTGGGTTCAAGATGGAGAAGAGGGAGCCTGTTTTCCTGGCCACTGAGTCCCTGTATCCCAAGTCTGTTGTGAAGATTAAGTAAAACTCTGAACAAGAAAATAGGGCTTCCCTGGTGGTTCAGACGGTAAAGAATCTGCCTGCCAATGCAGGAGTCCCGGGTTCAATCTCTGGGTCAGAAAGATCCCCTGGAGAAGGTAATGGCTACGCACTCCAGTATTCTCGCCTGGAGAATTCCATGGACACAGGATCCTAGCGGGCTGCAGTCCATGGGGTCACAGAGAGTCAGGCTCGACTAGTGACGAACACTTTGACTTTCTCTACCACAAAAAGTCTCATAACTCTCCACCTTAAAGGAGGCATGCATTCACTCATCCACTCTTCATTCATTCATCCACTTTTCTGAGCCCTATTAAACAATCTGTTTCCTTTATCCCCCATCATGCCTATCAATATTCTGGTCTTGAAAGTTTCTAACGTGGACCACCCGTGACTGTCAACCTCACAGTCACGTTCCCTTCCTCATCTGCTCTAGAGGCAAAGCGTCGCCAACAGCTTGGGGTCCACTGGGCCAACCAGCTCCTCCTCTCCCTCCCACTACCTAGGGGGCTGGTGACAGTGCCCCAGCCTGAGATGGTGCACTTCTGGCCAACGTGAGGGCAGTGATCCGCCAGCTTGATGGGCTTCACTTTGGGCCCCAGGGGTACCCGACCACGTAGCTGAATGAGCATCACGTCGTAGCTGTGGTCGTTGTTGCTGTTGTTGTAGCAGGGGTGCGGGATGGACTGAGCCACGGCCCTCTCTTGTTCTGACTCATCCTTATTCTTCAGGCTGTGCTCTCCCACGCGGACCGTGTATTTCCTGTGATGATGGGGGTGGTTGGGCACCCGGGCAGGGATCCGGGCTCCCAGCCCCCTCCTCTCTGAGACCCAAGTCCCCTCTTCTCTCAGACTTCCATTCTCAGAGTCCCGGTCCCCAGCTCACCCCTCCTGAAGCAAAGCCCCAGCCCGCTCTTTCTCCACCACCTCTGCTGCAGGAATCCACTCACTTCTTTTGACAGTGGGCTGCTGTAAGAACCCATTTGTCCGCTATGAGAACACCCCCGCAGACGAGCCGGACGCCCTGGAACAAGGCCGTCTGCCACGGCTGAGAGTGGGGCTTGCACTCCTTGCCTCCCAGCACCTTGCTCTCCTGTGCCCTCAAGTGTCCTGGAGGCAGGAGGGAGAAGTTTGGGGCAGGAAAACACGGTGCGTTCAAACAGATACACACGCACACACCCTCCTCCGGCATCTGCCGCCCGGCTTGCACGTGCTGCTGCACAGATGCACACGTACCCTTGTGGAAGGCCATGAGTCACCAGACACGGAGTCACACACCTGAGCCTGCGTGCACCTGCCCCGGAGACTCGTGTGAATGTCTGCGCCCCTCGGGAGGCAGCCCCGCTGGCTTTGGTGCGCTCCTGCAATACCCAGCAGAGACTAACACATTCCTAGCTGCCGCCACGTGTACCAGGCCTCCACCCTCTGGAAACCCCACGGGAGCTCCCGCATGTCATCTCACACTCCCCATCTCCCCACATGCCGCCACAGGCACCATGACGGTGTCCCCCCAGGCCCACGTGCTCCACCGATGCCTTCCGGGCCCGCTCACCTGCCCGGGGTTCCAGCAGCAAGGGCAGGAGCATCCAGATCAAGACTGCAGCAGGTGAGGGGCATCCCATGGTGGGGCCTGGGAGACGAGAGGACAGGGCTGAGGGGAGGAGGAAGGAGTAGACCAAAACCCTAGTGATCTCGGGGTTGAGGTGGGGAGAAACAAGACCCTGAACCATTCTTCTGGGTCTTGCAGGAAGCAGGAGCTGAGGACCCAGAGTCTCAGGTCTGAAGAATGAAATGGGGCTCCAGATTGCTGAATCTGAGTTGCTGGGAGCCCATGGGGTTGGATTCCCACATTCCAAGGAGGGAGGGAGTCAGGGTCTCCGACTCCTGGGTCTGAAGGAAGACCCAGCCGGGAGCTGAGACTCCCACGTCCTGGAAAGCATGGGGCTGGGGTGCTGGTTGCTGGGTCTCCAAGGAAGAAGGGATCTGAGGTTCTGGGGGAGGGGGCAGGGGTCTGATGCCCTGTGCCTGAGAACTTTGGCATCTCACCTTATAGAATTCAGGGGGCGGGGTCACCTACTGATTCGGGCCCAGAGGAAGAGCTCCCAGTGCTTCAGCACTGCGTGCCTGGTACAAGATCCTGGAGCCTTTTAACCGGAACAGCCCGCCTCCCGATCTGACTCCTCCCACCCGGGAGCCGGCAGAGCGCTGAGGAACTGGAACCCTGCGTATGGCTGAGAGGCTGGGGGGCTGAACGGGAAATCTAGAGGGAGCAGGGGTTGGAATCTCCAGCTCTTGAGCTCTTGGAGGGAAGGAGCTTAGTACTGTGACTCCAGGAGCTGAAACAGAAAGGAATGGGTGCCCAGACTTCTGGAGCTGAGGGAGGAGGGGCTGGGGTCCTGGGCTCCTGGGTCTGAGGGAGAAGGGGGCTGGGGGTCTGGACCCCTGGGTCAGAGGGAGGAGGGGGATGGAGGCCTGGATTTGAGGTCTGAGCAAGAAGACGCTGGAGGCGGAATTCTTAAGGTTGTTTTTTTTTTTTTTTTGGAAGGAGAAATTCGGAGCCTCGGTTTTTGTGGGAGGAGGGGGCTGCCAAAAACCCGAATGGGAGACAAGACCGTCTTCTGGGTCCCAACTTCTGAGGGCGGGGCGCCCCGCCCTCTGGCGGCCCCCTGCGAGGTCCAGATTCCGGGAAGGCAGGTTTGGGAGGCGCTGTGACCTGGTTTCCCTTTCCCCTGGGGGCGACGGGACTGGCCCAAGCAGAGCCCAGGAGCCTTGCTGCAACAGGGCTGATGAGGACAGACCCAGGCAGGACCTACTCCGGGCTTATGGGGAATTGCAACGCAGCGGCCGTGTTCCCTCTCTGCCCTCTATCGCGCACCCGATGCCCATCTTTTATCCTACAAAACCGGCCGAAGGAAGGCAGGACTCCGCACGTTTAATGCAAAAATTATCCCTTAGATCGGGCGGGACTGAGCCCTCCTCCCAACTTCTCTCCTCCCGGTCGGTTCCCGCCAAGATGAACAGCCTGGACACGCCCAGGAAGGGGCCATGGCGCGGGATGGGGGGAGTGGGCAGAGACTGACCCACTGCCTGAGTTCCACTTGGGGGAAGGGACCCTCCAGTAAGGCTGGGTCGCTGACGAAGGAGGTGGGGCCGTAAAGGGAAATCTCATTGGACAAAGCTCTGGAGGGAGACGCTGTTTATTAATTAACTTATTTATTTGGGTCTGTGCTGGATTCTCCTTGCTGCCTGGGCTTTTCTCCTGTTGTGGAGCCCCGGCTGTCGGTGCCCCAGCTTCTGTAGCTGCGGCGGGCGCGGTGGGTTCAGCGTTGCAGTCCCTGGACTCCAGAGCGCAGGCGCAGTTGTTATGGCTCCCGGACTTAGTTAATCCCGGGCACGTGGGATTCTTCCCAGACCAAGGATCTAACCCACGTCTCCTGCATTGACAGGCGGATTCTCTTCCCACCAGGGAAGCACCTAGAGAAGCTATTTAGTGGATGTCTTTCCCAAGGTAGACCGCAGGGGGCGCTATTGTATGGGAGCGGTGCCAGTTCCCGGTGAGTCAGAGATGCGGCCAAGAGGGACGGAGGTGTCTCCCCGCTCCTTTCAACTGGGAGGCAGCTATACAGTTCACGGGGAACTCTCTGAATATCTGGGGAACTGTCTGAATATCTGACAGCTTGAATCTGACAGGTCTGAATATCCAGAAACTGGGAACTTGAATATCCAGAAGGCGTCTCCAGGCCAGCTGAGGCCAGGGGCGAAGACCGTCGAGACTGGAGTCTTGCAAATCCGCCTGCCCTGCACCCATCCTCCTCTCCTGGTCGTCCAAGGCGCGAGGGCTCAGTTGTTCTCCATGGTTTCTTGAATCCAGTCCAGGTAGTGGCACACGCTTGTATAGACCGCAGGGCGCCGGGGTCTGGAGCAGGGTTCCGAGCCTCCGGACACCACACCGGCCAGGGTCCCATTGCAAACCAAGGGGCCCCCAGAGTCCCCCTGCACGCGTAACAGGAGCAGAGAAACGGTTAGGCCGGTCTACTCAGGACCTGACACAAGGCATTTTCTTCCTCCGAGGAAGCTTTCAGTTCCCTTCTCCTCCAGAACCCAGGCGTCTGGGTCTCCAGTCCCTCCTCCCTCAGTCCACCTGTGCGGGCTCAGTCGTGTCCAATTGCTTTGTGACCCCATGGACTGTAGCCCGCCAGGCTCCTCTGTCCATGGAATTTTCCCAGCAAGAATACTGGAGAGGGTTGCCATTTCCTCCTGCAGCCCAGGGATGGAACCCACGTCCCCTGCAGGTGGATTCTTTACCTCTGAACCACCTGGGAAGCCCATAGATGCAGGAGTAAAATCTCATGGCCTCCACCTCCCCCCAGGACCTAGCATCGTGGATCCTAACCCCTCTTCTCCCAGGACATAGAGTCCAACCCCTAGTCCCCTCCTCTTTTGGGTCCAGGAATCCTGGCAGGACTGGTTCCCCGCCTTCCCACCCCTTCCCAGGACCCGGGTATCCCAGATCCTTCCATGTTCTGTTCTCGGAAGTCTGGGGCTCCAACTGTCTTCTCCCCCAGGACCCCGGAGTTGCTGCAGAACACCCACCCCCATCCTTCCCAGAGCAGGTCTCACCTGGCAGGAGCCCCGGCCCCCCTCCCACAGGCCGGCGCAGAGCATGCTGTCAGAGATGTGGCCTGGGTATGCCCGATGGCAGAGCCGGGGCTCCAGGATGCTGATGTTGGCACACTGCAGCGTCAGTGGGTACTCCACTGTTGGGAAAGCAGGTCGGTAAAAGGTCAGCAGCTGCCTCCTCGAAACTCAGCACTCCCCCTCCCCCCGCTTTTCGAAGACGGACCCACCGCCCCACAGCACAAGACTCTCCAGACTCTCCAAGACAGGAACAAGTGACAAAGCAACAGGATCACAGCGTGGAGGAGAGACAGATGGGGACGAAGGGGAGAGGGCCGGAGAGACAGAGAAAGATGCAGAGGGCCAAGAGGTGAGAAGAGATAGGTATAAAATCCACACAGAGAAAAAGAGGGACCATGGTGGGAGACAGAGACCACTGGAGGGGAAAGAGAACTCTCAGAGGAGGCAGTGAAGAAATAGGGAGAAACAGACTCAGAGATGGGAATTCCCTGGTGGTGCAGTTGGCTAAGACTCCACATTCCCAATGCAGGGGGCCCAGGTTCGACCCCTGCTCAGATCCCACATGCTGCAACTATGAAGGCCACGTGCTCTAGAGCCCGTGCTCCGCCTGGGTCAGCCACCACAATTAGAAGCCTGAGCATCACAGCTGCAGAGTAACTCCCCGCTCTCTGAAACTAGAGAACGCCTGCATGCAGCGACAGAAACAAATACAATAAAAAAAATTGTAAATAAATAAACAGACCAAGAGACATCCAGGGAGAAAGTAGTGAGATCAAGGGGAGGAGACTTTTACAGTGAGATAGCCGTTGGCAGAGACTGAGATAAAGACTAGATAGAGATGGGGAAGTGGGGGAGGGGCTGTCTAGGGAAACAGTGGTCCTTGGGGGTGAGATGCAGTGAACCAAAGAACCCGTGTGTTGGCTGAAGGGCACAGCCTCCACTGAACTGTGCCAAATTCTGCCCAACAGTGGTCGTTATTTTAGAAATACGGACCCAGCATTGTCAGTTTTGAATTTTTCAAGCAAATCAATAAACTTGGCTTTTGTATCACATTGCTCAGGTTTTAACTGTTGGCAGCCACAAACTGACGTTTTTGTTTTTGTTTATTTTCATGGCCCTTTGAAAGCCAGTACTGCCATGGGAAGCCGAATTTGACTAATGGATGTGCTGATTTCTGACTCTGAGTGACATAGACCTTATTTCAGTTCTGAGATGCATGTATTTTCACAAGTAAACATCTCTGAAATCAGGATGTGCCTTCCAGTAAATGATGTCATACAGGGATGGATGGAGACTTCCCTGGTGGTCCAGTGGTTATGAATCCATCTGCCAGTGCAGGGAACGCGGGTTCGATCCCTGCTCTGGGAAGATTCCATTTGTCGCGGGGCAACTAAGCCCGTATACTACAACTTCTGAGCCTGCTCTCTAGAGCCTGCGAGCTGCAGTCACTGAACCCATGTACCCCAGAGCCTGCGCTCCGCAACAAGAGAAGTCTGCACACCACAACTAGAGAGGAGCCCCAGCTTGCCACAACTAGAGAAAGCCCTGGCACAGCAACAAAAACCAAAAATAAATAAGAAGGAATAAAATTTTTTTAAAAAGAAGATAAGTGAAAACAATTGCAAATGTGTCTTTTTAGCTATAGGTACTTCCGCGTATCTTGTAAGAAAAGGATGGCTGAAACCTGTTTTTCTTTTTCTCATTCTTAGTGGGTTGTAAGATAATGGTGCATCTTATCATTCATAGCATTTAGATCTGATGAAATATATGGATGCATAGATAGATGATAGACAGATAGAACATAGCGATGGAAAAGCAGAGACAGAGACAGAGAGGGGTTTCAGACCCCCAGCATGAGACATCAGGGTGTCTGCGGCGGGTGAGGCTGTACCCTTAGGACTAGACACGGCCCCCCAGCCTGAGATAAGGCACTCGGTGCCGGGGGAGACGCAGGTCTGGCTGAGGTTGAGGGGCTGCACGGCAGGGCCTAGATGTGCCTTCCGGGGCAGACGGACCAACATGATGTCATCGTTGTGGTCCTGGGCGGTGAGGTCCTGGTTGAAACCAGGGTGAGGGAAGAAGTCTGTGGCCCGGAACAGCTGCTCCGGACCCTCCCATTTCCAGAGGTGGTGCTCCCCAAGGCGGACCCACAGATACCTGTAGGACAGGTGTCAGAGGTCAAGGTGGGAGAAGGCGAGGTGTCTTCTGGGCCCTGATCCTCTTTATTCTGACCACTGGGATGCTGGGTGACCCTCCACAAGCCACACACCCTCTCTGCGCCCTTGTCATCTCTACGTGACCCACAGTGATGTGTGACTTTAAGCAAGGCACACACCATCTCTGGGCCCCTGCCTTCCACTCCACCCTTTTGTCTGCCTCTACCTTCGTAGCTCTCCCCCAAAGCTCACACCTCTTCTCAGCCCCATGTCAAGTGAACCACCTTCCTCTCTGCCCCACCTGGAGCCCCAGTGGTGACCTGGGTCCCCTGGAACCATGGAGGGAGGTGAGGCCTCCGCCCATCACCCCATGACAGCCCTACAACCTGCACCCACAGGTCTGGTGGCTTCTGTGGGGCGTGGCGCTGTGTCTTTCCGTGTGTGTGTACGTGGAAAGGGTGGGATATGGAAAATCCCCAAGCTAGGCTCATTCGTGGCCTCAGACTTTTCCTGTCTGCTACATCCCTCCATCTCTCAATGCACTTCTTCCTGAAATCCGGTCTCAAACCCTCTTCCTGCGGTGGCAGAGCCCACTTGCTCTGCTCTGGCAGCCAGGGACCCTCAGGGTGTCTACATGTCCATCCCCCAACCCCTGGCCTCTGACACTAGGGACCAGGCTAATGATTGAGAACTCAGGGTTTGAAGACTGTAAGGTGTTAGCTCTGTCTTTTCCCTCTCTGTCACACTGTTGCCGTGGTTTCTGGGTCTGGGAAACCAGCCCCAACCCCACCCCACAGCCCCGACTTGTCCCTGCTCCTGAATCTCCTGCATCTCCGTATTTCTGCTTCTCCCCTCTGTCTTTGGTACTGACATGTGGCCATTGTTTTCCTAGCCTGATGTACAGGCCTGAGCTAAAAGAGTGGTGTATGATGGGAAATTCCCACAGAGCAGCCTGGGTAGCCCCTATGCTTCATTTCTTGAGGGAAAATATCCAACAGGAGTGATGGCCCCTTTCCCCAGATAATATAAAAAGGATTTCTGCACCAGGTAGATTCTAGAATTCTATTAGAATGCCCAGAATCTAAGATTCTAAAATTCTAAGGTTCTAATGCCTTGGAAACCCACAATTTTAGAATTCTGTGAGGCTCAAGCTCTAGTATCTTAAGAATTTGAGATTCTAATGTTTTTGATTTCCCTGAATCAAAAAGTCTAGGATTTTTAAATTATCTGAATTAAATCTAGGACATAAACACCTAGGGTTCTAATATTCTGGGACAGTAAAACTAGAATTTCATCATTCTAGAAATCTAGAAATCTTTGATTTTTAGAAATGTAAGAATTTAGGTTTCAAATAGTTTGAAACTCTCGAATTATCTTGGTTAACACTTTGGGAATTTTAGAAATCTTGAATGGTAGTATGCAGGAATAGTAAATCCACCAGATTCTAGACATGTACGAACATAATCTAGAATTCTCTTGGTTCAAGATTCTAGAATTCTACAAACCACAGTATTCTAGGACACTGTAATTCAGAAATTCTAGACTATGAGCTTCTCTACTCAATGAACCTAGGTAGAGCACTTTGAATCTAAGATTCTAGGGTTGAGCTATCTGACACAGTGATTGAGTGCTTAAATGTGGCTAGTCCAAATGGAGATGCAACATACTTGTAAAATGCAAGCCTGGTTTCAAAGGCTTAGTATTAAAAAAAAGACTAAACTATGTCATTCATAAGTATTTAAAATCGATTACATGTTGAAATAACATTTTGAGTATGGCAAGTTAAATCTGCTATTAAAATTAATTTTACTTTTTTTTTTTTTTTTGGCTTTTTGGTGTGTCTGCTAGAAAACTTAATCTTTTCTATGTGGTTAGGGTTCTATTTCCATTGGATAGTGCTGCTCTAGACTACTCAGATTCTACCTGTCCCTGAATCTATGTTTCTCCAGTTCAGCAACATCACTAATGTAATTGCTTACTTACATTAGTGTAAAATATCCTTGGATGCAAGATTTTAGGAAAGTACGGCTCTGGATTTTTCCAGGTCAGAGTCTAGGCGTCTAAGAGTCTGAGTGAGTGAAGATGATCAGTAATGTCCAACTCTGCGACCCCATGGATTATAGCCCACCAGGCTCCTTTGTCTATAGAATTTTCCAGGCAAGAACACTGGAGTGGGTTGCCTTCCCTCCTCCAGGGGATCTTCCCGACCCAGGGACAGAACCAGGTCTCCTGCTTGGCAGGCGGATTCTTTATGGTGTGAACCACCAGGGAACTCACCTAAGAGTCGAAGTTTCAAAATCTACACCCTGAGGACCAGCTTCTTTAGGATGCTAGAATTTAGAGTCAACTCTCTGTCATTCTAGGAGATGAACTTGGGGAACAGAGGTGGAGGCTCGGCCCTTCCTGCCCACGGCTCCGGCCCCTCTCTCTCTTTCCTGACCTCCAGCCCCATCCGGGGTCACTCACCGTTTCAGGCAGTGGGCAGCTGTGAGCAGCCAGCGGTCACTGATGAGGGTCGCCCCACAGAAGAGGTGGGTGAGGTAGAACAGCCCAGCCTGCCAGGGCTGCGAGTTGGGGCGACATTCCTTGGCCCCGATGGCTCGGGTGTCTGCCCAGCCCTGCCCTGGGGTGGGGATGGGAGGCAGAAGGGTTATCAGAGAGCCAGGTGGCAGGGCTCGAGGAGAGAGGCTAGACAGAGGGCCTGATGGAAGGGTCCCGGCGGGGGGCCATGCAGGGGAGCATGTTGGCGGGAACCTCACCTTCCAGGAGCGAGAGCAGAGCACAGAGGAATCCCAGCCTCATGACCTCTGGGGTGCCTGGATCTTCAAGCCTGTGCTCAGTGTCCCTGCTTCTTTATGGTAAGCCATACTGTCTTCCTCCTTGGGGCCGCCCCATGATTAATCTGGGTTGGGACATGTCCTGGGGAGGAGGGGGAAGCCCAGGGGCCTTGACTGGGGGCCGTGGGGAGGCAGACTGCACCGGTAGACCCTTTGTCAGGATGAGCCAGGGGCCGGCAGCATCAGGGGTCTGGCACAATGGGGGAGGGGCTGTGGGTGAGACAGTCCTTCTCAGGTGGGTTCTCTGGAGAGGGCAGCCCTGATTCGCCCTGACTTCGGGGTGGCAGCATCTGGTTACAGGATATTCTGTGGCCTGGAGGAGGAAGAGAGAAAGGAGGAAGGAAGATCCCTAAGGTGGAGTCCTAGGGTGGAAGCAAGTTCATTTTGAATGAAGTTGCAGTGGGCTGGGACCAACGCACTCGGCAGGCTGGAGTGTTACCTAGCAAGAACTCCAGGGAATCAGGCTAGGAGTGGGAGAAAGAATCAGGACTCAGAAGGAAGATGCTGGCAAACTAGACGGCAGGATGGGGGTGAGGTAGGGAAAGAGGGAGGAAAAAAAAAAAAAAAAAACCAGGGAGACAAAGACACTGAAAGATGCAGCAAGAAAAAGAAAAAGAGACAGAAACGCTGTCTGGACTGGCAAAGACCACAAAGGGAGCTACACACCCACAGAACCCTCCCTGGCACCGGGGCTTGGCCCCTTCCCACGAGGATAAAGGCCTCTCCCAGGAGGTTGAGAAATATGATCCCATCTGGGTTAACCTACTCTTGTCATAACCTACTTCCGTTTCCACATCTCTACCACCCCAAGGATCCAGGTGCCCAACCTAGCTGGTACTAAGCATTTTTCCCATTAATACCACCAGATCTTGGCTAAGTCCTGAGAACATGGTCTTGTTTCTTTTCTACCCATCTCCTTTCCAGTGTCCTTCATATCACCCCATGTCCCCTGCCTCTCTCCCCATCCCTCCTTCTCACCAGATGAGCAGTCCCTTGAGGGCCAAGCCCAGATCTGACTCATCTCTGTGTTGCTCGCATCACCCTGTTCAAGGGTGGGCTCATGGGAGGCCTCAGGAGATGTTAATTGAATGAGTGAATGTCTTTCTCCATATACTTCTTAGTAGTGAACTCCTACTCATCCTTCATGACCCAACCTAAATGCCCCCTCCTCCAGGAAGTCTTCTCTGATTCCTCCAGGCAGAGAACATCTTTTCCACACTGGGCACTTCCACCCTGGCCCTTCTATGTTCTGTTGCTGTAAGACTTATGATTCAGCTGGGTCTGGGCTCCCTTGAATGTGTACACCTCACCAGGATGTAGTGGTTTGGAGCATGGACTCTGGAACTGGACCATTTGGGTCCAAACCTCAGTGCTGGTAATTGTTAAGTGTGTGATCTTGGGCAAGTCACTGAACCTCTCTCAGTTGCTCCATCTACTAAGTAGCAATAATAACTGGGGTTGTGGGAGGATTAACACATATGAAGCACAACAGTGGTAGGCTTTCAATAAACATGCCTGTCCCCCTTCTACAGAGCCCTGCACTGCCTCCATCATAATACAGATCATCCATGACTACAGTTGCCTTATATTCTCTGCAGACTGGGAGGTCCTTGAGACCAGAGACTGAACACCCACTCTGTGCTAAGTGCCATACTAACTGCTTTAAAGAATATTTTGATAGCCAGCTTTTTTTGACTATTTATTCTTTGCTGGCAGTTGGGTCAACATTTCACGTATGTTTTCTCACTACATTCTCACAAGAGTCTAACTAATCTCTATTTCACAGTGGAGATAGCTGAGGTAGAGATAGCACTCAAGTATTTTGCTTAAGTCACCCAGTGAGTTACAGAAATATATTTCCTTCTCTACTTGGTGAACTCCTACTTATCCCTTAAAACCCCGTGCATATGTCCCCTCATCTGAGAAGCCTTCCCTGATTCCTTCAGAAGGAGTCTTCAGGTCCTCTTGGGAAACCCTGGGCCTTCTTCTGTTACATCATTGATCATTTTGTGTTATTTGTTAATTTGGCAATGCATTGAATGCCTTGTGTATGTCAGGCATCAGATTAGGTGCTTAGAAAACCACAGTGAATAAATCAGAGTCCTTGCCCGAATTGACTGGGTGAGGGGAAGGAGACAGACCATTACGGAGTAAACAGATACTGAGATCATTTTTGCTATAACAAGTGCTGCAAAAGAAATACACAGAGCGATGGATTAGTGACCAGTGCGGAGGTTTACAGTGGGGAGAAGCTTTCAGCCAGGGAAATCCTGGAAGGCCTCCTTGAGGAAGTGACTTTGAACAGGGACCTGAATGACAAGAATGTAAGGCTTGCCTGTCTCCTGGACCAGACTAGCAGCTCCTTGAGGGTAGAGCCTAGTCTGATTCATCTCTGGGACCTGGCATGGCACACAGCTCAATAAACACTTATGATGTGACTAAAGGAATGGGTGAATTGCCTTTAAAAATGAATCGAGTTTTCGAGTTCCCACCTTCTTCACTCTGATTCTTACATAACAAGCTCAACTGATATGCTTCATTGGCGCTTCCTGGGTGTGCTAATAGGGGTGGGGAAACAGTGGAAGAGAGCTGTGTCGACTCTGCTCAAACGCTGTGCCCCAGTCTTCCGTGGGATCTGTGGGGGTGCGGGGCAGGGGCCTTGTGGTCACCACCGTGTTCTCAGCATGCAGTAGTGAGCATGCCATACAACTGGTGCTCAATAAACTGATGTTGGGAAGAGAAAACAAAATAACCTGTGTAGGTTAGAAAACTTCTATTGTGCATGTGTTCCACTTGTGTTACCACTCTAAAGTTCAGGCTCAGGGGAGGAGACACCCGGACTTCCATTAGCTCTGCTTGGATTCTGTGTATAACAGCCCCTGTTCTATGCACTCAGTTATGTCCGACTCTCTGTGGCCCCATGGACTGTAGCGCGCCAGGCTCCTCTGTCTGTGGGATTATCCAGGCAAGAATACTGAAGTGGGTTGCCATCTCCTCCTCCAGGGGATCTTCCTGACCCCGGGATCAAACCCGTGTCTCCTGCATTGGCAGGTGGATTCTTTACCATAAGCACCACCTGGGAAGTCGCATTTAGCCCCTAGCATGGGAATATTTGCACAGAGACAGTATCAGGGAGAGGACAAGAACCCCCTCATCCCAAATTTTCAGGGCGAAAAGCTCAAAACTAATTTAGGGGAGGAGAGGGGAGGGGATGGAGTTGGAATGTCTGGTTGTTGGATCAGCCAATGAGAATGGAGATGTGGTATAGAGATGGAACTGGATGGGGATGGATCTAACCAAGAAACCAAAATATTTCCCTTAAATTTCAGAGGGCTTCTTTGCGTAAACTTAGCAACTGAGGTAAGGGAGAGGTCCTCTGATCTTAGAGACTCAGATGCCTGTAAGGTGAGGTCCCTTGAGTTTCGGTGGCCCCAGCAAGGCACGGAAGGTACCAGATGACTCAGAGACAGCCCAGGTCCTGGGACAGGAGGAACAGGTGTTGGGTGGACCCCAACATGGGAAACAGTGGGAGGGAAGAAGGAAGTGCTTAAAAGGTGCTCTACAGAACTTGACAGGAAGAAATGTGATTCTCCCATCAGTCCTGATAGACGGGGCTGGGAACGCAAAGGGTGGTTAGGATTAGAGGCTACCTCTGCACTCTTCTCCCCAGGTCACAAAAATCACACACATGCCCACCAGGACCTGGTGCCATTTAGTCAGAGTTCACCACCCACCATGTTAATACTTGATATGGCAATTTCCATGACAATCTACACGCACATGTTATAGTCTCCTCATGACACGTTTTATGAGGTAAGCACTTCATTGTTCCGGTTTTCCAAGTGAGGCTCAGAGAAGGTACTTGGCTTGCCCAAGGTCACACAGCAGGTAGCAGTGAAGAAGGCCAGGTCGGGTGATGGATAACTTCTCTCAGAGACTAGTGACTATCAGCTTCATTTCTCATGAACAAGACTTGGCCAGCGCTTTCTGCATCTTGGCCACCGCTGTCTGCATCTCAGCTTCAGCATGGGCAGAGAGCAGCAGTGGGCAGGGGGTGTGAGGAAAGAGGAGACATGTTAGCAGGTGTGCATGGGCGGCAGAAATTTGAGTAGGGCAGGGGGAGAGCCCAGCCCAGCTAGAGGAAGGAGGGGAGGTCGGAAGAAGAAGGCAGGTGGAGAAGGAGTTGCAGGGCATCCTGGGTCAGTTGGAGCGGATGGTCTTCTCTATCCAAGAGCGGTACTTGCAGATCTGCGTGTAGACAGCTGGATGCTGGGCGGAGCCGCAGGGGTAAACGCCCCACGAAAGGATGCCCTGCAGGGTCTCGTCACAGACCAGAGGGCCACCAGAGTCACTCTAGGAGTGGGAGGAAGGAAAGAGCAAATAAATACACCAATGGAAAGGCTGCCACCTAGGGGTCTGGGGTAGTGATGGGGAAGGGAAGGGTCGGGTAGGGTTGGAGCTGGGTTGGGATAAAGCTGAGGCTGGGGTGGGGTTGAGGTGGGATGGGGTGGGGATGAAGTTGGAGGTATGATGACACTGAGACTGTTGTTCATGGTAGGTGAGGGATGGAGCAGGCTCTAGAGATAAGGCTGGGGTCGGGCTTTAGGAGGGCTTCCCAGGTGGCGCTAGTGGTAAAGAATCCGCCTGCCAAGGCAGGAGACGTAAGAGATGTGCGTTTAGTCCCTGGGTCGGGAAGATCCCCTGGAGGAGGGCATGGCAACCCACTCCAGTATGAGAATCCCAAGGACAGAGGAGCCAGGCGGGCTATAGTCCATAGGGTTGCAAAGAGCCGGACACGAATGAAACAACTTAGCACGCAGGCATTAAGGAATGGCTTGAGGATGGGGATGTGGCTTAGGATGGGGTAGGAAGGGGCTGGGAGAAGAAAATGGCAACCAGCTCCAATATCCTTGCCTGGGAAACTCCATGGACAGAGGAGCCTGGAGGGCTACGGCCCATGGGGTCGCAGAGTCAGACATGACTGAGCAACGCATACAGGATGGGGAGACGGGCTTGGGCGTGGACTTGGAGACAGGGTTGGGCATGAGAAGGTGGACACAAGGGAGTCGAGTTGAGCATGGTGTTGACGTTGGGGTAGCAGTGGGATAGTGCTGGACATGGGGAGGAAATTGAGCTGGGAGTAGGGGGTGTCTGTTTTCCCATAGCCTCCCTGTCCCGCTCCCACCAGTCAGAGACCCTCCCTGGCCAGTCTGTACCTGGCAGGGGTCCTGGCCCTGATCCAGTCCTGCACACATCATGTTGCTGGTGATCACGCCGGGATAGAAGACTTCACACTCCTTAGGGCTCAGGATAGTGACCCTGGAGCAGCTCAGGCCCTTGTTGTACTTCACTGATGGGAGAAAGCATCGGGTAACCCTGGGGCCCCAGCCCCCAGTGCCCCAGGCCCCAGGAGTCCCGACACGCAGACTGTGCCCCTCCCAGGCCCCATACTCCCAGCCTCTCCTCCATCCAGGAGTCCCGGCCCCGCTTCCTCCTTCCCCGAGATCCAGGCTGCCCTGGGCCCCTGGCTCTTGCCTCTCCGGGAGGAAGTGGTGGCCCAGCCGGCGATCTGGCACTGGTCCCCGGGCTGCGTGCAGCGGAAGGGCAGGCGTAGGGGCCGCACACGAGGCCCCGGCACCACGGGCCTGCCGAGCTTCAGCAGCATGAGGTCATGCTCGTCCGTGCGCCTCGGCAGGATGGGACCCGAGCCCTGCTGGTACTTGGGGTGGACGATAGGACGAGAGGTCCGGCGCAGCTGTTCGCCCTGCAGCAGCAGCAAGTGGTCGTCCCCGACTCGAGCCCACAGGGGCCTGGGGAGGGAAGAGCCTTCATCAGGACTGGGGCTGAGCCCCGAGTCCCTGGGAAGGAGGGTACAGGCATTGGGGTCGGGGTGGACTCTCGAGTCCTGGCAGGGGAGGGGGCTGGGGCTGGAACTCTAGGGTCTGAGGGAGGAGGGGCTGGGGGCCTAGATTCTTGGGTCTGATGGTGGAGGGGGCTGGGACTCCTAGGTCTGAGTAAGCAGCGTGTAGGGGAGAAGGGAGCTGGAGACCTGAGGTGGAGGCATGGGGATATGTGACCACGGGTTTGGGTCTAAGTTCTGCAGGATTTGAGGGCAGAGGGACTCCATGGGTAAACCTACTCTTTTCTTCCTCCTTCAGTGAGGACTCACAAGGTGAATAACTTCTTTTAGTTTTAAAGTCCTAACCACACTAGACCCCAACTTCTGTCTGCTGCACAAAACTGTCTACACCTAAGAGGAAAACCCTGATGTTGGGAAAGATTGAGGGCAGGAGGAGAAGGGGGCAACAGAGGATGAGATGGTTGGACAGCACCATCGACTCAATGGACTTGAGTTTGAGCAAACTCCAGGAGATAATGAAGGACAGGGAAGCCTGGTGTGCTGCAGTCCATGGGGTCACAAACAGTCTGATGTGACTTAGGGACTGAACAACAAAAACAGGAAAAATGGAACCCTAAGAGATTCGGCTGGGCAGTGGCTCTGGATGGGCCCAGAAACGCCGAGAAAGACCACACTGCCCCCTCGTGGCCACAGCACAACTCCACCTCTCCTCCTACAGGAAGCCCTCCAGGACTGCCCCCACGTGGAGCTGGCAGGCCCATACCCTCACGTGCTCCCGCCCCTCCCGCCCCCCCCCCCGCCCCCCGGGGCCTGTCTCCCCAGCCCCTCCGTAGCGCCCCAGAGGAGCTCCCCCTACTTATTGTTCCCGCAGTGTGCAGCGGTGAGCACCCAACTCCTGTCCACCAGGACGCCGGCGCAGTGGAACGAGAGGCCATTGAAGAGGGACACCTGCCAGGGCTGCGAGCCGTGAGTGCACGGGGCGCCGGAGGCCACGACGCGGGAGCTTGTGTCGTTTGCGGGGAGCAGCAGAGCCTCCGAGACTGGAGAAAGAAAGCAGGTGGGGGTCGGAGCAGTCAGGGCAGTATGGCCAGCACTGGGTCTGGGATCCGAGTGGGGCCATAGGACGGGGCTTTTTCGGGGGTGGTGGTGCACAGCCTGAACCCGACGGCGTGTGTGGGAATTGGCTGTCCCGAAGCAACCGAGTGGAAGTGGGCGGAGAACGGCGTGAGAGAGGAAAGGAGACCTAAGGGGCCTCCCCTGGTGGCTCAGACAGGAGAGAATCTGCCTGCAAGGCAGGAGACTCGCGTTCAATCCCTGGGTCGGGAAAATCCCCTGGAGGACGCGATGGCAACCCAGTTCAGGATTCATGCCTGGGAAATCCCGTGGACAGAGGAGCTTGGCGGGCTAAGTGCATGATGACTGAGTGACTGACACTTTCACTTTCACTTGCAAGGAGACCGAAGAGGCTGATTCTGGAGGAGTGAGGAGTGAACCGAGTACAGGACGAGGTCAGGAATACAAGGAGGCGTGGCTGTGGGTGTGGCTAATGGGGCGTGGCTAGTGGGGGCGTGGCGAAAGGGACGGGGATAGAACTCTGCGCTGCGAGGGTGAAAGTTAGGGTTGGGTGGGTGAAAGTTAGTTAGCGCTACCGTGCTAGCAGAAGGGGTGAGGGCAAAATACTGTAAAAGCAAGGCTTGGGATAGGGACTCCCCTGTTGGTCCGGTGACTGAGACTCCACACTCCCAATGCAGAGGGCGTAGGAGTTCAGTCCCTGGAGGGAACTAGATTCCACAGCCTTCAACTAAGAGTTCGCCGGCAGCGACTGAAGATCCCACACGCCAAAGCTAAAAAGATGCCCCAACTAAAAGTTGCAGCTGTGTGCTGCAACTAAGACCCGGCGCAGCCAAATAAATAAATACATATTAAAAAAAAAAGACTTGGGATTAAAATAGGGCGGAGTAAGAAGGGGCGGGGAGGGGAAAGGCGAGGACAAAGTGGGGGGTGTACTGATCCTAGCGGAATGAAAAGGTTGGGATAGCTAGGGCGGAGTTAGAAGAGGGGCGGGTCTGACTTGGGGCCGGGCCTTTCCGGACCGGTGGGTGAGTGCTGGGGGTCCCAAGGGGAGGAGAAGTGCGCGACAGGTTTGGTGATAACAGCCCACTCTCCCATCGCCTCCCTGCCACCCACCCGCCGCCCACCCCATTCCCCGGCAGCCCCCTCCAAGCCTGGCTCCCCGCCTCACCCCAGAATTGCGCCATCAGTAGCGGCAGCAGCAGCTTCCCCAGGCCGCCCTGAGAGCCGGAGGCGGCGGAGAGGTGGAGATGTGGAGGCCTCATGGCCAGGACCTAGGCTGGGGAGGAGCAGCGACGCGGGCAGTTCAAAACACTTGCCGGGTCCGAGACCCCCACCTTGCCTGCCCGTCCGCGCATCCTGGGCCACCTCAACCTGCGGGGACCCGTTTAACCTGCGGCCGACCGGCGCAGGGGTGGGTAGCCTGGCGATTCGGGCCTGAACCGCCAGTGATGGGCGCAATTACCCTAATGACGCCCCTCTGGCGTCCTCCCTCACTCCCCGTCCCACGCCCGAGGGCAGCGCCCTCCTGGCCCGGGCTGTCCCGGGCTGTCCCGGGTGCCAACCTCTCGGCGCTTCGGGTTCCTGCCCTCCTTCATATAAATGGGCTGGAGCTTCGAGGCTCAGAGGATAAAGAGGATAAAGAAGCTGAGTCTCCAACAAGTCTCCTACCCGCCACCCGAAGGTGCCCACCTGGGCTCTGGCGACCCACCCCCACCAAGGTGAGGTGCGTGCCGCTCACCTGGGAGCTGTGGAGGGGAAGACGTGCCTCAGCCCTGCCTTGTGGGCCGCTGGACTCCTCTGCCAAGGGACCCCTGGGCAGGCCACCCCTTTTAACCCCGAAGAGCCTGTTTCCCCACCCTCCCCTCAGGGAGGTACCCACTCCCTTTCCCTCTCCCTAATTATGCCGTGGGTGAGGCTGGGCCCCAGATTCCTGCTTTGGGAGGGGCCCAGGAATACAGGCTTCTCCTAGTGCCTGAAACACCCTTTCAGAACTTGGATTTCGTGGGGTTTCCCCAGGTCCGGTGTTCCCAGAAGCTTTCTTAGGTGAGGAGAGAGGGGGGCCACATCCCCAGAAGTTGCCCGGGGGTCACTGGCATAGTGTTGGAGACAGATGACCGTAAGCAGAGAGAGAGAGGGAAATAAGTAAACAGGGAAATGCATACCGAGAGTGACGTAATGGGAAAAGCCGGACGGCTGACCTGGAAAGAGGGAAGCAGAGCGATAAGACAGATGGAAGGAAAAAGAGTGGGAGCAAGAGACACAGACACGAGGAAAAGAACACACAGAGAGGCAGGTGCGGACACAGAGGGATGCTCTGTGCCTGGGCGCGCACCCGTCCACAGCCAGAGTGATGTCCTTGTGTGTCCCGGCCCCTGTGTGTAGGGGGAGGTTCCGCACGCTGTTCGGGCACTTCCCATCCTTCCTGCCACCTGCGCGTCTCCAGGTGACACACAGGCCCGTGAGTCACAAGAGGCCAAAAGCTGCAAGGGGCATCCCACGGCACTTCAGCCAACTCCCTCATTTTGGGTGAGGAATGGGAGGCTCAGAGAGGGCAGTGACTCACAGGAGGCCACGCAGCAAAGTCCACTTAACCACTCAGAGGCCCCAGTTCCAGCTCGGGGCTCTGACTCCTCCTGCCAACCACCTCCCCTGCCAGGCGAGCAGAATGTGAGGAGAGATCTAGTTCTGGACTATTTGTGACGCTTCTTCTCCAACAAGAAGTGGGTTAATTCCAGAGGTAGCCCAGCTCTGTGCCCTCCAACTGAACTTTCTGCCACGATGGAGAGGCTCCGTGTTTGCTATCCAACGCAATAGCCACCAGCCACATTTGGCTACAGAGGTTTTGACATGCGACGGGTATGACTCAAGGATTACATTTCTGATTTGGGGCCATTTAAATTTAATTTTAATTTAAATAGCCACATGTGGCTAGTGGCTAATGTATTGACCTGCAAAGGTCTTGATGAACTACCTATTATGAAGGTTGGAAAGAAAACAATGATCCCTTCCTTTTATTGGGTCTCAGCTATGTGCAGGCTGGCTGACGGAGTGTACATACTTCTGCATGCACGATTTTACAGATAAGGAAAGGAGTCTTAATCAAGGCAGTGTTGTTAAGAAATGATCCCTTGCTCCTCTTACTTACTGGCTGTGTGACTGTGAATAGGCGACTTCTTATCTCTGTGTCTTAGTTTTCCTCGTCTGCAAAATGGGTATAATAATAACAGCACCAGCCTCATATGGTTTTGTGAAGATTGTGTCGGTTGACATATTTAAAAGCCCTGGGACCAGGGTCACCAGGAGCATTCAAAAGATTCATTCATTTAGTAAATATTTATTGAAACCTTAGTGTGTGCCAGGAATTGCGTTTGCAGCTGGAGGTACAACAGTGAACCACACAGCTATTTTCACTCCCAGAGTCACAAGTTAGAATGAGGCAGGAGTAGAACCCAGGTCTCCTAACTCCAAATCCTAACCCTGATTACTAAGTAATCACACTGATTACTAAGTTAACAGCATCTCTTGTGGTCAAGAAGGCCTCTCCCCCCACAAAGTACATGAGGCTCAGACTTCCTTATTAACAGAATGAACAGGAAACCACAGCCCCAAGTAGGGATTAGGGGATTGGGCTGTGATCAGCTGGTCCTGGCTAATTGTTCTCCATGGTCTTCTGGATCCAGTCCACATATTTGCAGACCTTTGTGTAAACACCAGGCTTTTTGGAGACAGCACATGGATCCTGGCCCCAGGAGATGATGCCTTGAAGAGACCCATTACAGACCAGAGGGCCACCAGAATCACCCTGGAGATGGGGGAAAGAGAACCAGTTAGACAGGAGGTGAGAGGGGAAAGTGTTCATGGTCTTCGAGAGGACGTGGGGATGGTGTTAGAAGAGAGGTGGCGATTGAAGATGGGATTGAGGATGAGGTTAGAGTTACAAGTGAGAACAAAGATAGGAGAGAAAACTGATTGGGGGGACTTCCCTGGTGGTCCAGTGGTCAAGAATTAGCCTTCCAATGTAGGGGATGTGCGTTCAATCTCTGGTCAAGAAACTAAAATCCCACATGCAGTTAAGCCTGGGGTCCACCACTAGAGCAAGCATGATTTGAGGATGGTTGGGGCTGGAAATAGGGGTGGGGATGAGAGTGGAGCTGGGGATTGTGTTTAGGTTAGAAAGGGGAACCAGGAGTGGAGCTGGATTGGGGGGTTGCTGGGGAAAGTTGGGGAATGAGATTCTGGCTGCTGATGAAGATGCGACTGAGGTGGGAGCTGGGAATGGAAATGTGGTCGGAGACCCAGGCCCTGCCCTCTGACCTGGCAGGAGTCCTTGCCCTCCTTTCGGACACTGGCACACACCATCGTGTCCGTGATGTTGCCGGGGTAGGCGTCCTCACACTCCTCGTGCTTGATGATGGTGATGTTGGCACATCGCAAGGTATGGGGCAGGTGCACTGTAGAGGTGACATGAGGGGGCACAGAGAATGAGAAGCACCCGGTCCCCTTCCCTACGCTGCAGGGCTGCCTCTAACCCCGGCAGAGAACCAAGGTCCTTTCTCTGCACCCAGTTCCCTTCCTTCTTGCTTGCAGCAACTCACCTCTCTGCTTGTAGCGACAGTAACAGTAATGCCATTAAGTAAAATTCTTTATGCCAGTTGCTCTATAAACATTATCTCTTATCTAGACCTAGCAGGTGGGTGTGATTATTCTCATCTTATAGAGAAGCCACTTGCCTAAGGACCTACAACTCTGCAGGTCGTGGATCTGAAATTGCACATCCTGTCTGTGAATCCAGGCCCCAAACGTTTGTCTCCACCCTCCCCAGCCCTAACATTTCCACTCTTTCTTTTGGCTTATCCCACTGTTGACACCCCAGGGGTGGCCTCCTTTTGTATTCCTGCAAGTTCTCGTCTTTGCTATCCTTCCGCAATCATAACGGCGTGCCCCGCCCCTCCCCATCGCGTGCCCCTCTGGAGCCCCTACACTGGGGGCTGGACATGGTGCCCCAGCCGGAAATGAGGCAGTTGGCGCCCGCGGTGACGCAGTGCCGTGACATGGTGAGGGGTCGTACGGCCCAGGTGAGCTGAGCCGGGGTCATCATCTTCACCAACATGATGTCGTTGCGGTGGTCTTTGTTGGGGAGGCTGTTGTTGAAGTCTGGGTGGGGGAAGGACTGGGTGGCAGTTCGGGTCTGCTCACAGCCATCCTGCTGCCGGAGGCTGTGCGCCCCCAGGTGAACCACGTATCGGCTGAAGTGGGAGACACACCGTGGGAGACGGAAGGGGAGGGAGACACAAGAGATGGAGAGAGGTGTGGTGGGGGGGTGGAGGGGGAGAGACGGAGAGAATGAGGAAGCAGCGCGGCTCCCCCTTCAGCCTCGTCCCCGTCGCCTACCACGCACCACGACCTTATCCTCAACACGACATCCGACCCCCCCGAGCCCAGTGCCATCCCGGCTTCCGACATCCTTCATCGTCCTAGCTTCAGTCTCAGCCCCATCCCACCGTCGATCCCTGACCCCATGGTCCCCACCCGAGCCCCTCTCCACCCATCTCTCCATCTCCAGCCCCCTCCCTTCCCAGCCCCGCCCCAGCCCCCGCACCCACGGCTTGCGGCAGTGGGCTGCTGTCAGGAGCCATCTGGGGGCGATGAGCGTGGCCCCGCAGAGCAGCCTCGTCTTCTGGAACAGAGCCACCTGCCAGGGCTGTGAATGAGGGGCGCACTCGTAGCCCTTGATGATTCTGGTCTCTCCCCTGACGTGCCCTAGAAGGGTGGGGAAGCCAAAGAGGGGGCCCAGCCATGAGAGGACTCCCAGAAATGGGGGGGAGGGGATCACAACCCTGGGGACGCACTGTATGGACCGGCTGGGCATTAGATGATTGAAACCCTTCCATACCAGCTGCTCAGCAGCCACTGTCCTGAGCTCTCTGAGTGTCTCCCACACCACCCCACCTGCCCTAGGCCCTCCTCTGGGACTCTCCTTGTCTCCTCCCTATTCTAGCTCTAAAGGGATTACACCTTTGGGTGGCAGGGGGCATCCGAGACTCGTTACGGCTCATCTACTCTTTCAGATGCCCTGTTATTCTGTATTTTTAATATCAGCTCCGTCAGTGTCTATACCCTGAGGGCTGGGAATCCTAGAGACTCTGGAGGCCCCTGCCCGTCCCCACCCCCCACCGTACCTGTCACCAGAGCAAACATGATTAATTGCAGAGTCATCATGGCCTGCAGTGGGGGAGGGCAGGCCCCAGGTTCTTCTGGGAACAAGATGGACAAGAGGCCGAATCACTTCATGGGGAGATGGAGGGCTGGTGCGTGACCCTGCTCCGGCTCCTCCCCCAGCAAGAAACAACCAGGTTTGTGGAATTCCCTGGTTCTCACAGCACCCCAACCTCCAAATTTTTAAAAATAAATCTCTAGTATGGAGGCTGGCTTTGCAGGGCCCAATCCCAGTTAGGGGCTTCCCCAGTGGCTCAGTGGTAAAGAATCCGCCTGCCAATGCAGGAGACCCAGGTTCCATCCCTGGGTGGGGAAGATCCCCTAGAGAAGAAAATGGCAACCCACTCCAGTATTCTTGCCTGAAAAATCCTGTGGACAGAGGAGCCTGGCGGGCTGCAGTCCATGGGGTTGCAAAGAGTCGGACACGACTGAAGTGACCGAGTACACACGCACACACTCCCAGTTGGAACCTCCAGAAGCTAGGGGAGGGCTTTGCCCAGGGCAAGGGATGGGCTGACCCTGTGTAGTCAGCCACGGGACCTTGTAGGCCCTTCTTGCCCATCTGAGACTTAGAGCCCAGCCAGCTGGGGGTCGGGGGATAAAGGGAACCAGGCTCCATTCAGTAACCACCCCAGAGCTATCTGGGGTGTAGGAGGGAGCTCAGCCTGGGACAGCATTCTGACCCCCAACTCTGCTGAACCCCTGCCCCTTGGAAGAACAGCTAGACAGGGCAGAGTGGGGCTGGTCACCTGGCCAGTGGGGGTGGGGGTGGAGGAATGGACTCGGTGATGGAAGCTGGGGTCCGAGGGCACTAAGCTTGGGGTGGGGGGCAGCCTGCTGGAGACAGATCAAGGCAGACAGACACAATGCCTCCACCCCGAGAAGGTCTGAGCAGGAGGAATGATGCCAGGCAGAGGCCTGGCACCCTCAGCAGAGCACCTTCCCTTCCGCCCTCCCACCACACCCCCAGACTCACGGGCGCTGGGGCTGGGGCTCGGGGGGCCGGCCGACACTGATGCAGCAGGTCTTGGAGTGGGAGGCAACAGAAAGGTGAGCAGGCAGGGGGTGGCCCCGGGCGGGCCCAGGATGACTGGCCTCCCAGCCCTGCCTTGGCGCCCCCGGGGGCAGGGTGTGGGGGGCACTCCCCAGCCTGGCCCCGGCCCTTGGGTGTGTTGCCCACCTGCCACTGTCACGTCCCCAAGTCTCTCTTCTCTGTGCATCTGTATCCCCTCTCACCTCTGGGTCCATCTGTCTGTCTGCATCCTTTCCTGTTCCTGTGAATCTGCCTTTATCTCTCCCACTTTTCTATAATTCTCTGTGTGTGTGTGTCATTTTTCTTTCTGGTCCTTTCTCTCTCTTTGTCCAACCCTGTTTTTCCCTCTCAGTCTCTGCAAGCCTCCTGTAATTCTTCCCATCTTTCTTTGTGCCTGCCTCTCTCTCGTCTCTGCCTCCCTCCATCCCTGTCCTTCCGTCTCTCCCCACATTCATGTCTAAATCCCTCTCAGTCCTCCTCCTCTCCCAGTCTGCCTGTGTCTCCTGTCTTTGCTCCTCCCTTCCCACAGCCCCCAAGCCCAGGGGGGCCCCTGGCCCCTTCGTTCACCGTTCCAAGGAGTGGGGTGGGGTGGGGGGACTCGGGCATCACACAGGTGGGGCTGCTGCCAGGCAAAGGAGCAGGCAGGAGGGTGGGGGAGGCAGGTTGGGGCCTGTGGGATTCGAGGTCCAGGAAAGGAAGTCCGCCCTGGGCTGGCATCCACCCCCCAGGGCTCCTCCAGGGCTTCACTTCCCTGCCCACCCTTCTCCCGGGGTCCTCGGGAGCCAGCTGTGGCCCTTACTCACTCTGTGACCTAGGTCCGATGACTTCCGGAATCTGAGCCAGCTCAGCTTCCTCCTCTGCAAAACTCAAGTGCCGATCCCTACTTCTGCGGGTTTGTTTATTATCACTTAGATCTCCCTCTGTCTTGCCCTCCTCTCTCCCCTAATGAGATGTGAAGCAAGACTAGGGGATAGGCTTGGGTTCTGACAGCAGCCAGCCTTGGCCCCAAATCTGGGCACTGCCTCTTCCTACCACAGTGACGTGGGATGAAGGACTCCACCCGGCTGAAGCTCAGTTTCTTCATCTGTGAGATGGGGGTGACAGCTCTGCCTCAGGGGGTTGGGATGGAGACTCAAGGAGAGCCGGGTACAGTAGACAAGCATCCAGCAAAATGCTGCCATGGCTGTCCTGATCGCCCCTCACCCTCTCTCATCTCAAGTGTCCCTTCCATTCATTGGGGAGAAGAAATTCTCTTTCCAACTCCTAGAGAGGTTATGAAGACAGACCCTAAGAGGTGGGCAGAACTATTTTAAAACCGAGGCTGGGTCCTCTTGCTTTCTAGGGCTACACCCCCTCCTCCATCATCACAGACATCAAAACAGACCTGCACCCCACATTAAATATAACGCGTACTCAACTCCAGCTGAGTCAAGTTGTGATTGGCTCGTGGGAAGAATGTTATGTTTTATAGACGTTTAATTAAGTGGTAGTGAATTTTGATCTTGCAGCTTTCATTTGGTATTTTGGAGCTGACAACCCTGTCCCCCACCACC